GTAAAGCTGCAAGTAAAGCTGATTTTTATGTTCTCTACAATAATGTTCTTTGGTATTCCACATCATATGCTATGCTTAATATTAAATATGTTTGCAAAACTTAGAAGTCAACTTTAGAAATAACTTTCTGGATTTCTTGGTCATAATTTTTCAAGGAAAAGATGTGTTATAACAAAAATTTGGTTTGGATTGTTTTTGTTTTTCATCCACTATTATTTGAAACAATCATCACATTTTCTTGGGTAAAATGTTACACACACACACATCCCGATTTACCCACTTAGTTTGTAACAAAATACGTTCATGCCACGTCAACATCATCATGACACAATATGAAATATAAGCTGTAATTTTAGTAACCAGTAAAAGAGCTAACGCCCATCTTCAAGACCATTTATTCCCTTGTAATTAATCTTTTAGAAATATATATATATATATATATCACATACATTTAAGCAAGTTATTGTTGATATTTCACAAAAGATACCAATGAAATACCGAATAAAGGTAACAAAAATAAGTAAAATATTAAAGATAATTGGCTTCTCACTTCTATCAATAAACATGTCAACAAATAATAGTTAAAAATGTTAAAGTTTCCTAAATAACATGTAAATATTGTTTTAAACAAAATAAATCTGAGACAAACTCATTGGCAAATTTGCAGAAGCCTTTCACCACAGGAGCCTTGTAGTCAATGTCCATGTGAGGACAAAAATGGGTTAAACTATTTATTAAAGATTTGAAAATTTCCATAATTTTTGTCATTATTTCTCTGTCTACATATCCTGCAAAACTACTTATCATTACCAATTCAGAAAAACATAAATCTCCTTAAATAAAAGTATTTGATGATGATATTTCATTCTGAAAAATACAGGAAGACATGGTGTTCTAAATCCTAAATTTAAAACTAAATTATTTAAATAAAAGTGGAGTAAAAAATCAAATCCAAGTGAAGGAATGGGTTGAGCAATGATTCACGAGTATGAGAAAATTACCTTCTTCCCCAAGGAAAATTCATTTTGCCAGGTAAATTCCATAAAGAGTACCTCTAGTTAAGAAATATATATCAGCATGACATATTTGTGAGTAATTTTAATCTTGGAAAAATGTGCTACCACCTCAGTTTGTGAAACGAGAACAGGTAGAATCCCTAATGCCAGTGAAACAGAACCCAGTCCAATATTTTTTTTTTTCAATTTGTTCAATTACAGTCTATCTTCTCTGCTTTGGACCTCCAGTTGATTTATCTGACCCTGGTGACCAGACTGATACCTACTAACTTTATCTATTTTGCTTTTACCAGGAAAAGTGAAGTCTCCTATGTTAACATAAGTGCTATGACCATTAGTCTATCAATGGTGTGGATCCTATCATGTCCTAGAAGAAGACGTACACCAGCCTCCAGTGCATCTTCTTCAGCATAAGGTATGCCTTCTAAATCCTCAACATGAGCTGTCCCAATTATTCTGGAAATGGAAATAGTTCAAACTGATGAGAATGAATACTTTCTCTCTTTTTCTCCCTCTCAATTGATTCGCAGATACACACATGTACACACAGACACACACAATTAAGTCATATAAATTTGCTAATTGTTTTTTCATATGATACATCATATGTTTCAACTATTTTAATACTGTATCAATAAAATCAATCTTGCAATTGTCAATTCTATAATGGTCTAGTAAATCATTGCAGAATGGTCTAATCAAGAAGAATTCACAACCTCCAGTTAAAAAAATCCTTACAGTTTAATCCTAGAAATACAACCAAAGAGGTATCTACCTGCGAATGATTTCACAGCCAGCAAACCCAGCTGTTTCTGTGAGCAGGTTGTTCAAGTACTCGTGGCGCTGCCCTACTGTGCAGGTCATGACTGACAGGTAAGTGTTAACTACAAAGATGAAAAATCAGATTATGTTATCATATTAGTGCATGTGTAAAATATTAATGAAATGGTACCAAGTCAATAAGTTATAAACAATAAGCAATACTGAACTCAACTGTTGAATACTTGATAGTTAATGAATTTCTCAATGATACTTAGCATCAATGAAACTTGGCAATTATTTTAATAAGTACTAGAAAAAAAAAACAAAAGAAAAACAAAGAATTTATATTAAGTTAGTTGATATTTTGAAGTAAAAAATTGATATCATACATGTAAACCAATTTGTTACTTAATTTAAATACAAATGTGCATCATGTCATAAATTCTAATTCCTTTTCTAGGTATTTTTGTGTACATCACCTGTCAGATAACAGGCTTCAATCAATTTCTGACTGAACTTTCGATGTGTGTCATGATTTTCCTGCGTTGACATGTGACGATAATAGGAAAAGATGTAATTGGCTATCAGGAGTCCCAAGTCAAAAGCTGCAGGCCCAACATAGGCAAACTCATTATCAAACACCTAAGGAAATAAAAATATCAACAAGACTAATTGTGTTATATATATATCATCATTATAATTTTATATAGTTCTGTTCAAATTCACAGAGATTCGGTGTTAAGTTTCAGTAATACCTCCAAGAAAATTCTAAAATTCAGGGAAAAATTTCTTATTCATAAATTGGATTTTTATTTTACAAGAAGCCAGTAGTTAGTAGCCAAAGGGCACATTCTCTTTGTTGATATATCAAATATACATATGTAGCAATTGTGGAGATAGTGCACATCTTTCATTCACATATTTTTACTGTTTGGAAGGGAGTGTCACCAGCCATGCATGGTTTCTATTAAAGCATATATTGAACTTTTTACATTTTTATGGCACTTATGGGAATTTATGGCACACACACACACACACACACACACACACACACACGTTCACGTGCAGTGGTTTGTACCTTGGCTGAATTATTACTGACTAGTACAGAGCCAGTATGTAAATCTCCATGGACTAAGCATTCCTTCTTTTCTAGAAACAAATTCCTCATTTTCCACACACTGTCTAATAGTCCAGGGTCTTCATATATGAGGTGCAATTTCTTTTGCACTGCTTCTGAGCATCTGTTGGTAGGATCAGTTTTATCAAATGGGCGAGTGAAAATGTACTGTCTTGTTAAAGAAACCATGTCTTCATTTCTAAAAAGGAATAATTATGCCTTAAAATCTGCAAAGCTAAGTGTCTGTCTGATGATGTTATTCATTATTATATTGCACAATTCAGACACCATGCATCTACATATGTCTGTCAGATAAAGAAAACATGTATATTTGCTAAATAATATATATATATATATATATGGGGAAATTAAGGAATAAGTTCAATATCTGATATTAAGTTATCATTGCATCCAATCCTTATTTGCAATTGTGTTATTAAAAAGAAAGCAATATTGGCTTTATTTCAGCACTTGAGGAATAACATCTCCCCCCCCCCAAAAAAAAAAAAAAAATATATATATATATATATATATATATATATATATATATATATATATATATATATATATGTGTGTGTTAATTAAAATTATCAATCTTCTCCATCCAAAAATGGTTGGAGATTAAGGGAAAGAGTTCTTACTGAAAATCTTGCTGAAGTTTCTCAAATTCTGCTTCACTTAGTTTGCTGACATGGGTGTCCCTGTGCACGCAAGCAAGAAAGTAGGCTATCTTCTTCACAGTCTCCATATTTATATTTCCACTTATCAGTTCTTTTCTCATGATGGAATGATCTCTCAGATCTTCCATTAAAACTGAAATAGATATTACATCTTTGTTTATATATATATATATTAATGTTTCATATTATTATAGATCTGACAATAATATTTGTTCATATTCATATATTCAAGTTGTACATGCAAAATCATCTTGGTTTCTTAGGTTAAAACAATTTTTGTACATTACTGCAATTCAGTGAGTACATGTATGTCTTTTTGCCAACTGGAACTGTAATGAATTCCCCATTTATAACTTCAATAATGTCACCTACTTTGTGAGTGTAAATCCACCATATTTTGAGGGATGTAACAATTTATAACTACTAATAACACTTTAACTTACTACAACTGCTTTACAGCCAACATGCCTTTAAAACATGTACAATTCCTGGCCAATTTCAACTGTACCTGCATTGGTCTCCACATCAAAGTAATATGGGCAGGGGGAGTATCCGGGACAAATTCTTTGAAAGGCGGCTAATGCATTATACTCCACCTTCAACCTGACTATAGATAATGGGAACTCTGGACCTAAGCACTGTGGCAAAAATAAATAAATAAAATAAAATAAATAATAAAAATAAATTGGCAGATGACAACAAGCTGACGACACTGCATCTCCCTAAGGCCAGTAATATATTTTAAGTTTATTTTATATAGAATATGGCTGGATGACTAACATACATACTTACTGAATTGGTTAGCAGTAAAAACATCAAAACATGCCCAACTTCAAACCTTAATACCTCAAAAGTATTTAACAAAATTTCTAAAATTCTTTTTATTAATTATAATTTATCATCTTAAATTTTATATCAATTAATCTAAATCTAAAATCTACAATAGATTTACTTACCTTGATATATGCTGGTCCATGTTTGACAACAAGGGATTGTGAGCGCTCCTTAACACTTGTAACTCGAAAAACATCATTGATATTTCCATCGCCAATCTCTTCCAACTCTATGTCTTCACTGCCATCTAGACACTAGGAACAATACATATACAATACAACATATACCTCAACACCAGGGGCGTAGCCAGACCTTTTAAAATTGTACGCATAGATTTTGAAAATTCCCAGGTACGATTATATTCCGTGAAAAATAAACTGAATTTATGGAGAATAATATCATGGTTGGCTCAAAAAATTGTACGCACAGTGCATCCGTGCGTATGCCTGGTTACGCCCCTGAACACTATAGTAATATAACAGAACTTTCATGTTTATTCAAAGAAAAAATGTCCAACAGTTCAAATGAAGTTTAAAACGCATGTCTGACTTAATCATGTTAAGTATCACCTTCTCAATGACACATCCAAGATTTTGTGGAGGATGCCAGCATGAGGAGAAAAATATTGCTCAGCATTCATCCCCCCTTTATTTTTTCAATCTCGATCAAGAAGGCGATACTGATGGTAACTAAACGGGGCCATAGCGATAGTCCGAAGGTTCAATAGTCCGAAGGTTCACTATAGAACCTTCGGACCAATGAACCCTTGATTAAAAAATCGATGAAAATGTTACCACTTTTCGGACCAATGAACCTTCGGACCAATGAACCTTCAGACTATCGAGACGCCCCCAACTAAAATCTTAAGAGTACCCACTCACTTCTACTAGCTACGTGTACAAGCATGAATAACCTTGTCCGCTATGGTGTAACTTTTTCACATTTTAGAATGTGCTGCAGGGGTGGATCCAGGATTATTTGAAAGGGGGCTTTCGCGGATGTGGAGCCGACCCTTCCCCCCCCCCCAGGACCCCCCTCTAAATCCGCCACTGTACTGCATGCTGAGTACTGTACAGTGAGTATTTATCAACTACTCAGTTGTCTAATACTGCTATTAATAGAAACAACATGCGAGTATGTTGATGACAGGGGCAAATTTCCCCGATTCAAAGCTCAGTCCACACATATTTAGGCCCGTTAAATGTACACAGTGTGACAGACAGACACCACGAGGAGAGGCCACCCACAATTTACATCGCCACCACCCTACACTATTCCTTTCCCTTTCCCTAGCTGTTTACAAACTAATGTGACATCACCTCTAGTCCAGGAAGTGGAGCACATTTGCGCAAAATATGTTGAATTTTCTCTGTATCCAACTTCTCCCCCATGACCTGCATTAAGGCCACACTCGCTTGGATAATGACCAAGGAATACAGATATATTAGGCTGGCCCAAATTTTGGGTCACCACCCTGAACTCCAGCTCATGCCTAACACGTGATAGTGTTTACAATATTTTACTCACTAGATGGCGCTGCACATCATCGTGGAAAAGACAACCCGAAATGTAAAAGAAATGTGCTAGNCCCCCCTCTAAATCCGCCACTGTACTGCATGCTGAGTACTGTACAGTGAGTATTTATCAACTACTCAGTTGTCTAATACTGCTATTAATAGAAACAACATGCGAGTATGTTGATGACAGGGGCAAATTTCCCCGATTCAAAGCTCAGTCCACACATATTTAGGCCCGTTAAATGTACACAGTGTGACAGACAGACACCACGAGGAGAGGCCACCCACAATTTACATCGCCACCACCCTACACTATTCCTTTCCCTTTCCCTAGCTGTTTACAAACTAATGTGACATCACCTCTAGTCCAGGAAGTGGAGCACATTTGCGCAAAATATGTTGAATTTTCTCTGTATCCAACTTCTCCCCCATGACCTGCATTAAGGCCACACTCGCTTGGATAATGACCAAGGAATACAGATATATTAGGCTGGCCCAAATTTTGGGTCACCACCCTGAACTCCAGCTCATGCCTAACACGTGATAGTGTTTACAATATTTTACTCACTAGATGGCGCTGCACATCATCGTGGAAAAGACAACCCGAAATGTAAAAGAAATGTGCTAGAGAAGACCTTCAGGTGGGGGAGAAGACGGTGTAAAAACTCTTGCCAATAAAACACAAAAACAGAAATCAATCAGTCTGTTATTTCTGCCATACCGTGGGATTTTATTCAGTGACATTTTTTTTAAATGTCAAGATCTAACAACTACTGTACTCTGTGAGCTCTAGGAATTTTACTGCACAGGCATGCACAAAGGCAATCCTCATAAGTCTTGAATTGTGTTCAGATTAAAGGATCAAGAATGAAGATGATTTAATCCAAGTCTAATAAGTGATTAACCAGATGATTACAATATAAACACTTATAAACAATGTTTTAATGTCAGCATTCCTAATACATCAAACATGTTACACATCATAAACGAATGACTTTTATTAGAGACGTAACCCAACAATTCTTTTTAACAAATATCCACCATATCATCATCCTCATTAGCTATTGTCTTTTTTTCTTATTCTTTTATTTCACTATTCTAAATCTATTTAAAGCCAAGTAGTGACACAATAGTACTTTACAAACACACATTTATTATACATGCACACTTAACGATTATACATTCCTTTATTTTATGTTGCATACATATTATAATATAGTCTATATAAAACAGCAAAGCAGAAATGTGCCTTTAACACATGCAAAGGTTAATGTCTTCCAGTTTTTGACAAAACTAATTCCCTTAGATTGTCTTCACTTTCTTTTATACTTCTTTCCAGATACTGTTTGTTAGTCTGAAATCCAAAATAAAATAAAAGATAAATCTGTAAATTTACAAAGAAAATATTGCATTACTTTCTCCTACTGAAAATTCTAACATATAACCTACACCTATTTACCAAAGTATGAAAGAGAAATTTAAGTGATATCCCCCTTTAACAAGCATAGGGGTCCATTTTCTTTTAAACTTAAAAAATAATTAACATTCTTAACACAAAGTTAAAAGCTATACTTACACATCTATATTGATAAATATATGCCTATATTAGGGGTATCAGATAATTTTACATCTTTACTAGACCACAATTAAAACAACAGAACTGTCCTCGTAATTCTCAACCTTACATTACCTCAATGGTTTTAATTTTTGCTTCTGCATTTTTTACTTTCTCTCCAAGATTTGACTTAATAGTTTCCACTGGTTGACAGATAAACCTGAAATAAGAATTCAAATAGTGATACTATGGCAACAACTCCAGATAGTTTAAATATAATATTTATTAAATTATCTTTAATCAGTGCTCAAAAAAGTAACTTTGTTATCTGAGAATTTTGACAAATTAGATTCCATAATACAGCCTTATCCTCATTTTATTCAAGAATGTTTGTTTAATCCTAATGATTGAGTACTTTGATATTGCACTACTACTACTAGTACAGGGCCTTTGTTTTTGCTTATCTATTTATTCATCTATTTATTTATCTGATAATTTGAATGCAAAAAAAAAAAAAAAAATGCATCAACATAGGTAGATAGCTTACATTCTTCCAACTCCTTCATAAGTGTTTACACCTTCCGGTAATGTTTTTAATTCTTGTTCTACTAGTTTAGAGTGCTGAATTTGTCGCTTGAGCTGTTCAACCTGCATGTCGGACATTTTCAGCTGTTGAGTGGTCTGTATCATTTTGGACTGCAGGTCTTGGAAAGCCTTAAAAACGTAAATATAACACCATTAAAATATTAACACAACTAAACCATGCAGCAATCTAGGACAAAAATATATCTAGTCATGGTCATACTGTAAATACACTTCTTGATCATCGTTAATGAGTTGAAATGTAACTTGGTATTTAAAACGGATTTAATATAGTGAAAGAAGTGTACTTTATGAAATTTCACAGCAAATCTTACTTGGCTTTATGATAATTTTAAATAAGAAATTAAATTACAAATGTCATTCTTGGTCATGCACGCGTTAACAGGATAAAATAGCCAATTCAAATGGATCTGGATCAATCTACATAATACACTCCAGAACACTATCAATTATAAGAGATTTTATTGCATATGAATGCAAAGTTATGTGCTTAGCAAGGGGATAAACATGCCTTTTTCAGCTCCATGTCCACTGCTGGTCCTGCCGAAGCCATCCTTGGTTGCTGGGTTATGTAGCACTTCGGGAATTTATGGGAAAGGGATAATATAAATATTGTAAATCTGTGATATTTTGACTAAATACACTATGCACAAAATAATGGCATGGTACTTTATCATTTCTTATTTGATTTATTGTTTTTGTTTTCTGACAGTGTTAACATTTAGAATTAACAAACATTTGCACGGAAGTATTATGCCGTTCCACAATTTTTATCAGTCCAACATGTCAGCCACCACGAGGAGTCTTGCTAGATCGTCTTGAGCTAGAGATTTACAAAACTGTGTACATTATTGTGCCCTAAGAGGTGTTTAGCAAAAACGCGGTATATAGAAAACATATCTTAATTCTCTGTCACTGCGAATAATAGTCATGGGAAAGCGCAAGAAGGTAAATATCCAAATTATTTCCGAAATTTAAGTAGCTCCATGAACATATTTACACGTGTATTACTGTTTCTTAGTAGACATTACTTGAAGATGAGAAATTATAATTCCTATTATTTACCTGTTATGGCCCTTTATATAAGTTTATGTTTAAAAACGTTATATATATATATATATATATATATATATATATATATATATATATATATATATATATATATATATATATATATATATAACGTTAGCTCGAATGTTACTTATCACATACGTTATCTTCATCCATCATTCATCAGGGAAAGGCAACCAAAAAGACCAAGCAGTCTCAGGCGCAGAATGCTGAAGAGCATTATAAGAAAGCTCCTCATTCCTTTGTAATAAATCGTGGACATGTTGGAAAAAATGTGTCAGAACTCATTACTGATATGAGGAGAGTTATGTCACCCTATACAGCTTCAAAACTAAAGGTATTTCTATAGTTTCTATAATTAAACATACATATAAATGTTATAAATATCTTCAGTTTGCCAGTGGAAAGCATATATGTATATATATTATTATACTGTGCGTTATAATTAATCTGAACTTAATTGTTTTTCAATAGATGTTCATATCTTAGTGAAAGAAGGTAAATTGATTGATAAACTATTTTAGTTAAATTATTTTAGACACCATTCTGATGTCATCTCAAAAACTTTATAGCACTTTTTCTCGCTTCATATGGCCCATTTAGGGACTATTAAAATGACTTATGAAATTTTTTTTCCAGACAAGAAGGAAGAATGTGCTGAAGGATTTTGTGACAATAGCTGGAACCCTTAACGTGTCTCATCTTCTCATGTTTACAAAGTCTGAAACATCAACAAACTTGCGTGTGACACGCCTACCCCGAGGACCCACTTTGACTTTCCAAGTCCAGAAGTTCAGTTTATGTAAAGATGTTGTTTCTTCTCTTAAGAGACATAATATGGACCCAAAGCAATTCAATCTACATCCATTGTTGGTGATGAATAATTTTACAGGAGAAGGTGTTCATCTTAAATTGATGTCTAGCATGTTTCAGAATTTATTCCCTTCTATAAATGTTACCAAGGTAAATATATCTGCAATCCTCTTAGAACAAAATTGCTTTTTGCACCAAATGGAGAACCGTGCTGTTTACATGAATTCTGCTTTTGTCTTGAGTGCATTGATATGCAAAATTTAAGATGTATAGAAATGATTAATTCATTTACATTATTACTGATCTCATTTATTGAACAGTTAGAAATGTATGTTCACTTATTACCTCCCCCCCCACCCCCCCCACCCCCCCACACACACACACACGCACGCATATAAAAATAAGTCAGAAAAATTCAGCTTTTTCAGAAAAAGGTCCTGAAATAGAAATTATTCCTATGTGTAATCCAGTCTGTTCTCAATTTTTATTATCAATTTATACTATTTTTAAGGTGAAGTTGAATGACATAAGAAGATGTGTACTATTCAATTATAACCAAGAAGATGAAACTATCGAATTCAGACATTAGTAAGTACATCTAAAGATTTTACCTCTAGATATATACAGTACACTTATGCATAGAATGATACAAAAACATCTACAGGAAGATTTGGATATAAATATATAATCTGTGGCAACAGTTTCAATATTAGAATTGGTTCTATCGATAGGCCATTTAAGTATATAAGTTCTGTATAAAACCTGCAGTTTGAAACAAATAGATGAAATGTTTGCATAGGCTTTATCTAAGGTTAGTTGATTATTGATATTCTTTTTATTTCAGATTTGCTTATTTTAATGCAAAGTCTGTGGTGTGTTTCTTCATTAATTCAGTTTGTACATGAGGTTTCTGATCTGTAAAAATATTTCTTTCCATCCAAAAGAATATATCTGATGGATTTTACTTTATATTGCTGTGTTATTTCAGTAACATCAAGGTGGTTCCTGTGGGGATGGGCAGAGCAGTGAAAAAACTTATCAAAGCAAAAATTCCCAACATGAGCAGATTTGATGATGTCAGTGAATTTGTTCTTGGGTAATGTACCTTTTCTAATGGGATTGTCCTGAAATGACAGGCTAGGGCTAGAATGATGAAAAATTACATTAGTTGTAATAAAACAAGTGAACTCAATTGCTTGAAGGGTTTATTTCAAAAATAAAAAATTAGAATATTACTTATTTTTATTATGTACAGACACAGATGTGTCTGTACATATTGCCATCACCTGCGTCTGTCGTCGCCGATGCCGATGGCGATGGCGATGCCGATGCCGATGCCGATGCCGATGCCG